AGACCCCTATCTTACACAAAAATCCACTCAACATGGATTAAAGACCTAAATCCATGACCTGATACCATCAAATTACTAGAGAACATTGGGGAAACCCTGTAAGACATTGGCACAGGCAAAGAGTTCTTGGAAAAGACCCAGAGGCACAGGCAATCAAAGCCAAAACTGACAAATAGGATTACATTAAATTGAGAAGCTTCTGTATAGCAAAAGAAACATTCAGGAAAGTGAAGAGGCAGCCAACAGAATGGGAGAAATTATTTGCAAACTATGCAACTGATAAAGGATTAATAACCAGAATAAATAAAGAGATCAAGAAACTCCACAACACAACAAACAACTCATTTAAGAAATGGGCCAAGGACTTAAATAGATATTTTTCAAAAGAGGAAATCCAAATGGCCAACAGATACATGAAAAAATGCTCAGGATCACTAGCCTCAGGGAAATGCAAATCAAAACCAAAAGGTGGTTTCACCTAACTCTAGTTAGAATGGCTTTCATAGGAAAACTAACAAAACAAATGCTGGTGAGGATGTGGGGAAAAAGGTACCCTAATCTACTGTTGGTGGGAATGTAAACTGGTAAAGCTACTATGGAAGGCAGCTTGGAGATACTTCAGAAATCTGAATATAGACCTACCATATGACCCAGCCATCCCACTCCTGGGAATTTACTCAAGGGAAATGAAATCAGCAAATAAAAGAATTATCTGCACCCCCATGTTTATTGCAGCTCAATTCGCAATAGCTAAGACATGGAATCAACCTAAATGCCTATTGACTGAAGACTGGGTAAAGAAATAATGGAATATGTACTCTGCAGAGTTTGTTCAGGTCATGTCTGCTGCCTTGGTTCTGCTAGTCCTTAGTCACACGGCTTCCTGTCGTTGTGTTTTGTTATTTTTGAATGGTTGCTGCTCAGTGCCCCTGCCTGGTTATCGGTGGGGGCTTCTCCAGGCTTCATGGTTGCTTTTTGTGGCACCTGGATTATTAAACGGCATAGGTGACCTAAAATCAAGTTCCTGATGGAGCTTCTTTGGCTAAAACAAGGGCTCATGTGTGGCCCTTTCTCCCTTGGGCTCACTGATTCTTTCTTTCTCCTTCTGCTTGCCTCAGCACCAAGGCACAAGGCCTCTCTGAAGTTGTCCAGGATTAGGGGAAGGAGATGGATTAAGACCCAGTTTAGCTTGGCCTGGAAGATGTGGTTCCTCAACTTTGTTAAATTCATTGAGTCCAGCTTAATGGGGGGAAGTCACCTAAAGGCTTCCCAGGTTGGGAGGGCTCCATCCCTTGAATTATGGCCCTCATGGCTTCTGTGGCCACTGATTCAAAGATTAGGTGAGGGGCCGGCACTGTGGCGCAGTACGTTAATCCTCCACCTGCAGTGCCAGCATTCCATCGAGTCCCGGCTATTCCTCTTCCAATCCAGCTCTCTGCTGTGGCCTGGGAAGGCAGTAGAAGATGGCTCAAGTGCTTGGGCCCCTGAACCTGCGTGGGAGACTGAGAAGAAGTTCCTGGCTCCTGGCTTTGGATTGGTGCAGCTCCAGCTGTTGTGGCCATTTGGAGAGTGAATCAATGGAAGGAAGACCTTTCTCTTTGTCTCTTCCTCTCACTCTCTGTAACTCTACCTCTCGAATAAATAAATAAAAATATTAAAACAAAGCAAAACAAAACAAAGCTTAAGTGAGCAACTCTGACCAGTGCCCTCAGTTATCAATGATTCTGATAACTGGGGTTTCTCCTTCATCTTTGAAAGTGAAACTTGAGGGGCTGGCACAGTGGGGTAGTGGGTAAAGCCGCCGCCGGCAGTGCCGGCATCCCATATAGGCACTGGTTCTAGTCCCAGCTACTCCACTTCTGATCCAGCTTTCTGCTATGGCCTGGGAAAGCAGTAAAAGATGGCCCAAGTCCTTGGGCCCCTGCGCTCATGTGGGAAACCTGGAAGAAGCTTCTGGCCCCTGGCTTCAGCCTGGTCCAGCTCCAGCTGTTGCAGCCAGTTGGGAGTAAACCAGCAGATGGAAGACGCATCTCTCTCTCTCTACCTCTGCCTTTCAAATAAATAAATTTTTTAAAAAAGGAGAGTGAAACTTGAAAAATATTCTACCTACCATTTCTTATTTTAGTGGGAGAGTTGATTCAAAAAGAGGAGCCTGCCCCACTGGGAGCTGGACATTCTCTGGTGCCTTTTGCATCCCTGGTAATGCTGGCCACCCTGGGCTGTCCTGTCTGCCTCGGGCCCTCCTTCCTGGGGGCTGAGGCATCCGCCGCTTCAAGGGCATGGCAGGCCCCAGCTGAGAATCAGGATGTGACGTGCAGCTTTGCACATCCAGAAGTGGCTCCCCAAACTCACTTTAGGGGTGACACTCATGAAAGGTAGAGCTTTTAGCAACCAGGCTTTGATGAGACAGCGAAGATTTATTTAAGTTCCAAAGTAACCCTAAAAAATTATTAAGACCCAGAACCCAGGAATCAGCGCACACATTTTCCTCAATTGCATGGAGTAGTAGGAAGAGATCTGAAGGAGTGAATGAAGGCACTTCGTGGGCTAAGGAGGGGTTGGGGCTGAGGTGGGGGTGAGGTGGGGTGAGGCAGGGGAGAGGCAGCAGGCAAGAGCAGAGACTGGCGTGGGGGCAGAGCTCCGTGAACGTGGCCAAGACTCCTGGAGAGGAGCACTGGAGGAGGGCGAGAATGGACAGTCAGCATGGCTACCAAGGGAAGTAGAAGGTGCAGGGAGGGCAGCCCAAAGCCAGCCTCCATGGCCTTGGCACGACCAGGGAGAGCCCAGGCACGCGGCCAGGCAGCAGGGACATGGTGTGCGAGTTGACAGCAGCTGAGGAGGCTTCCAGATTGGAGGCAGAGAGGACAGAGGTTACCTAAGGTCAAGGGCATGCCCCTCAGCTAGGCGGCACTGGGCGGCCCAGGATGCCTCTCTCCTGGGGAGGTAGGCAGGGGAAGATGAACTTGATTAATAACTGACCTGCGGGAGACTAAGCTGAAAACTAGAAAACTGCCACCTTGAAGTGACAAATGGACATGGTGGCTCAAGAGCACAGTGTCACAGAAAGCAAAGTAAGTTATAGTCCTGCACGTCCGAGCCCCTGTAATACGCAGAAGGCATGCATCACCTCTTTCTCCTTTCCCCTTTAAAGGAGATGGGTTCTGCAAGGATGAACCCCTCCAGGGAGTTCATGCATTTAAGCTTCACATTACCCCATTTTGCCAGGGGGACCAGGGTGGGAGGACAGGGGCCAGGCAGGCAGCTCTGCTGGGCATCCTGGAGACCCAGGTGTCACCTGTGCTGGTTTAGCACATCCTGACAGCACAGGTCGTGCACTGAGAAATCAATGCTTTCTTATAGAACACAGGGCGGAGAGTCAATAAGAACAACAATTTGAGCTAAAACTCCTTCCTGCCTTCCCAGTGGTCATGAGTGCAGCCTTTTCCCTCCGCCGCCGCTCTTGGTCACAATCCCAACGTTGCCCTTGGGTGATTCCTCCACCCCCCACCCTGCCCCAGCCTTCACCAGGCACTTCTCCCGTGGCCCTCAGCTGTCCAGACACACCTCCCTCACAGCACCTGAATGGTAATGATCTCTCTGCCCTTGTCTTTCCTATGGGTCTCAGAGCTCCTTATGGGCATGAACCTGTCTTTCAATTTGGGATGAGACACCTAGCATCTCAGCACCAAGCTGTACCATCCTCCCTGTGGGTTTATGAAAGCAACTCATGGCTGTGAGTTTAACATGGCACACAGAGTTCCTTGTTCTTATTCACCTCCTCTAGGACCTTATAAAATGGCAATAAAGGAAGAAAAGCAGTGAAATCACAAGGACCCAGTGGAAGAGGAGCCGAGCATCGGGAAAAGTCCACACCATGTCGGAAGCTGGAGAGCTGGTGAGCATTGGGAATAGACCAAGCAGAGCCTGCAGAGGGGGAGGTGAATAAGAGGCAAGCTGTGGCCGGCACCACGGCTCACTAGGCTAATCCTCCACCTTGCGGCGCCGGCACACCGGGTTCTAGTCCCAGTTGGGGCGCCGGATTCTGTCCCGGTTGCCCCTCTTCCAGGCCAGCTCTCTGCTGTGGCCAGGGAGTGCAGTGGAGGATGGCCCAAGTGCTTGGGTCCTGCACCCCATGGGAGACCAGGAGAAGCACCTGGCTCCTGCCTTCAGATCAGCGCGGTGCGCCGGCCGCAGGGCGCCGGCCGCGGTGGCCATTGGAGGATGAACCAACGGCAAAAGGAAGACCTTTTTCTCTGTCTCTCTCTCTCTCACTGTCCACTCTGCCTGTGGAAAAAAAAAAAAAAAAGGAGGCAAGCTGTGCACACAGAAGCCCAGAGTGGCTCAAACTGGAGGATTAGGGGCCTTTCTATGTATGGGTGCCAGAGGGCCTGAAAACAGGAGGACCAGTTGACAGTTTGTCTAAGGAGCCTCAGGTCCACCCAGACCACCGGTGACCTACCTTCTTCTTCCAGGTATCTGCTTTCTGCCTAGGCTGGGCCAAGAGAGGATCCTGACCCCCAGAGGAAGGGACAGGGAAAGAACATCCGTAAGTCAGTAGGGTTAGGTTTGTCTCCCAGAATAGAGTACCAGGTTAGTCAGAGACACTTCTCCACCCAGGAGGAGACACCAACACAGGCTGACGTCTGGGGTTTTGGACCTAGGAGCTGAGCCTATGGCCACGAGGTCCATCAGCCTCACCCACACACCCAGAGCTTCTGGCCTGCATGCAGGACCCGGGCCTGGTCTGCAAACCCGAGTGGACAGCCTAGGAAGGGACCCAGTTTAGAAGGTGGCCTACCGCGAGAGTGACCACCACAGCTGTCAGAGGGAAGGAACTTGGAGGACTCAAAGGCAATACAGAGAGACGATTTCAAAACCCTTCAAGGAGCAGTGTCAGAAATACTGCAGGGATATGCTCCTCACAAAACAGGAATGGCGTGCTTTAAAGAGACAGCCAGAAATCAGGAAGGGCTCATAGAAGTCGAAAAATACTCACTCACTCAACATTTGCCAGCTGCGCGTTGCTTGCTGGGGGTGGCGTTGGGTCTAGGGCAGCAGGTGATGATGCTGCGGACCAGCCCCTGCCCTCACTGATTTACACTGTGCTGGATGGCAGCAGCGAGGGAGTCAGGCGGAGGAAGGACCAGAAGACAAACGTGAGGGAGCCACAGGCTGCAAGGAAGGCAAAACTGGAGGCTCGAGCCAGGAGTTCCAACACTTGTCTAATGTGAATTTCTGAAAGGACAGAAAAACAGGGAGGAAATAGCTAAACAGGATGAGTATCTCCCCAGACCAGGGCGCACAGTTGCAGAATCCACTGCTCTCTGAGAACTCAGCACGTTGAATACAAAAGACGGCTCATGCCGTGGCAATCCATTGTAACACTTCAGGTCCCCACGTTCCACGTCAAGCACACAGGCCCGGGAAGCAGGACGGCACTGGACTTCTCAGCAGCAGCTCTGCAATCCAGAGGTCAGAGGGAAAGGATTCAACCTAAAACTCTGCCTTCAGCCAAACATCCAATCACTCAGGGCAGAGGCGGGCCGATGTTTTCAATTCAGAGACAGACAGTAAATAGTTTAGGCTTTTGGGGGCACATGCAATCTTTGCCACAGTCTATTTAAAAAAATTCTTTTTTTTTTTTTTTAGCCAAACAACTTTTAAAATGTAAAATGAATGAAAATAGGCTGTGCACCAGATTTGGCCTACGGGCTACACTTCACTGCCCCTTCCAGGGGAATGTGGACTAAAGCTGCATTCATATATGCAAGATCTCAGAAACTTCACCTGTTCACGCGCACGCTCTCTCTCTATACACACACACACACACACACATACACGCACACACACCTTCTCAGAAGGATGCTGCAGGATGTACTCCACCAAAACAAGAGAATCCACCAAAAAAGCAGAAAGCATGGGATCCAGGAAAGAAAGGCTCTGGATCAGACACTGGCCCGGGGAATCCCAGGACATGCCAGGATGACGGTGTCACAGCGGAAATACGGAGCTGGCTGTCCAGAGAGGAGCCGGAGAGTCCAGGGACACCAGGAAACAGGAAGAGAAGCTCACCTGGTGAGCATGTATTAAGAATTTCAGAGCTCTTTTGGAAAATTTGGGACAGACCTGGTGATAGGTATAAGGAGCCAAATCCATGAACCAATTAACTCTTAGAAAAACCAAAGTCTGTATGAGAAAATGGAATTACAGTGGACTGTGGTGCTGGCACTGTTTACACAGCCATAAATATAAACAAAACTATTAATTCAACCTGGAGTCGTGCATGCATCAGCATGTGGTCAAGCATGAAGGTGAGGGTGCAAGGGAGCTAACTTCTCATTTTTCATAATTGGAAACCAACAGATAACACCTACATCTGAAAACAGAGGCACCACGGTCTGAACATGCTATCTGGAAGTAGGGAGTTGAAAACCAGAGAACACAGACGAAACAGAATGACTGCTGGGATCCAGGAATCCAGGACGGAAAAGTCCCACTCTAAGCCTTAAGGTGACTTCCCGAGTGTCTGTGTATTATAAGTACATGTGTGCAGAGATATGTATACACACAAATGTACGTACACATGAGGGCACTTCAGGAAGCTGCTGGGAAAATAAAATTTTACATATATTTATTAATATAAATATAAGTTTAGAAATGAGTTCACATTGTAGAAACACTGCAATAAACTAAAAGGTGTAACTTAATAAAAAATTAATAAGACAAATCTAAGAGGCCAATACTCTATATTTTGGTTCATTTTCATGGTCTTTTTCTTATATATCTTTCTTTTTACAAGGTAAACCTACTTTTGTATCCTCTTTATTTAGGGTACATTATAAGCATTTTTCTTTGTCATTGGCACCCTTGAAAACATCATTTTTAAGGCTACATAATGACAAAGATAATAAAAATTAAAATACAAATTTTTATGCGAGAATCAATATATGGTGACCATCTCTGTAGGTCCTGATTGCAAGGTTTACAAAATTTTTCCAGATAAATTACTAGAAAGGAAAATTACTGGTTTGAACATCTGGGGGTCTTTTGCTTCATGCTGCTAAACCACTCTCCAGAAATTCTGACCAGGGAGAGAGCGCCACCAGCAGGTGTGAAAGATGCTATTACTTTATCTACCAACCATTGCTGGTAGTAGTCATTCAAACACCTTTTTCTTAGTCTGTAGGGAGCTTTTGTGGTTTACAATGTGCATTTAGAATTAATTATGTAACTTTATTACTTGGTTATGTTTCTCCTTTTGCGAACTGCTTGCTCACATCCATCGCTCATTTATCTCCTTACTACGCACGGACTCTTTAACAAGCATCGCCAGTGTTTGCCTGTTGCGTCTGTTGGCAGTCCCAGGGAGAATCACGGACGTTCCCTGCCACCTCCTGCCTGGCTGCCCGGAGCTCAGTCTCCCTTGCTCCATGCAGAGTCAGGCCTCAGGTCCCGGCCTAGGGACGTGTCTTGGATTCTCACTGCGCCTCTGCTCCTCTGTCCTGCACCAGCACTCTGTGTCTCCTAACTGTCACCTCCTCATCTTCGTCCTTGGTTCTGGAAGACATCCTTGGACAGGTGTTCTGATCCTCCGACTCAGCTGCAAGCAGCAGCCTCCTGCTGCGCTGGCTCCCCGAGCATTCGCTGGGCCATGCTGTTCTTAATCCAAACACACGTCTCAGTCCTCAGGTGGCCCCTGTGCAGCACAGGCTGTCCGTCTGCTGTTGCACGCTCTCCAGTTTGAAAAATCTCATCATCTTCTTATGTGGAGGGCCGCGTGCCCTCGCTCTGAGCCTGCTACCTTCCTTGGAATTACAGTCCCTTCTCATCTCACCTGTGCCTTCTGGTGGGCCAGCTCCTGGGTGGCCCTGTCGGTGCTGGAATAAGCTCTTATTTAATTATTTTGTTCACAGCAAAAAGACAAAGGCAGCATTTAGGTTTTCAGTATTTTTTTCTTTGCCTCTGAGTAATACACGTACTTCCTTGTGTAGTTTAGAGAGGGAGACAGCGGGTCAGAAACATAAGCCACTGACAGGGAATTCGCTATGCCAGGTTTTACCTTTCCTATTTTACCAGGTGAAATAAATGAGGTAGGAAATCAAACAGCTTTTTCCCCCCTCTAAATATGTTAAATGTGCCATTTCTTTTAATTAAATAATCTGTTGCCTGACTCCCATTGATTTTCTTTGTTTTTCCCTTATTGCATATTTTATCAACTTCATGTTCCGTGGTGCCATCTGGAGTCAGTATTACACTCCTGTAATCACTTTTTTAAAAAAAATAACATTTTAATGCCTGGGGAGAGCATTCGGAGCATCTGGTTAGTCGTCCAGGACAACTGTGGGCTGCTTCTCTCAGGTCTGAAAGATACAGGAAAGTTCCCATGCTCTGGCCTTGTCACCGGAGAGCCGGTTCCTAGAGGACGCTTCCTGTGAGCAGCTGGAGGACCAGAGCCTCTCAGCACAGGGCAGAGCTGCCCCCGGAGGCCCTGCTGCACCTGCTGCACCTGCTGCAGGTCGGCCCTGGGTGTCCTTGGCTGCTGCTCCTGTGGGTGGGATCTTCTCCTTTTCTCACTGTATTTTATCGTGTGTGTGTGTGTGTGTGTGTGTGCAGCTTTTCCATTCCATTGCATTGCAATTGTTTTATCGGGAATCCTGTGCTTCGGTTGGTTTATTCTGAATTGGGACTGCTTTACTGCTGTTATTAGTTCTAATCGGTTTTCCAATGCTTCTCCTGGATTTCCTAGGGACACAGTAACGCCCCTACAAGTAATGAGATCCTCGTCTCCTTCCTGTGGCTGTGTTTCTTATTTGCGGCTAATGCCGCGGGAAGCCAGTGGTGAGCAGGTACTGCCTTCTGCTCCCTGCTCCTGGAGACACCCCTGCAGTGTTTAGGCCATTATGCCGCATGCGCGGAAAGTATCCTTAGAAGTCTAATTTACTAAGAGTGTAAAAAAAAAAAAAATCCCTGAGTAGGTGTTGGATTTTATTGAATGACTTTTAAGTGTGTATTGAGATGATGATTTAGGTTTCATAAAAGTCTATTGTCTTAGTAATGCGATTTATTAATAGGTATCTTTATGGTATATTGTCCTTGAATACCTGGCATAAGTGCTACCTGGTCTTGTTGAATTATTCTTTTATTAGCAATTTGATAACCTACCACTTTATATGGGTATTTTGCATCCAAGATTATATGTTGAACACTAGCTGTAATGCCACAATATCCTTATCCAATTTTCTTTGTGCTGGAAAATGGCTATGGTAGATTGAATTATTGGTCCTGATTCCTCTCTCTGCTGCAATGCTATTACACAAAGGCGGGCTGTACTTCCCTATTCCTCGACTTTGAGCTTGGCCCTGAGACTTGCTTTGACCAATGGGATGTCAGCATTTGGGACAAGGCTAGAAACTGACACACTGCTTGCTTGCTTGCTTGCTGCTATGCTGTCCCGTGAGAAGGATACACAAGGTAGCCGCTGCTCCTCCTGTTCTCCCAGACCCCAGAACAGGAGAGGAGGAGCAAACCTGTTCCAGCCGACCCACCGACTTTTGCTCAAGATAGGAACTGCTCATTCTTGCATGCCACTGACATTCTGTGGTTTTTATGCAGTTGAAGCCGAAGTCTGATCTGAGAGAAACAAAAAGTGTGCACTGGCAAGACCCAGGTACTTTCACTAGAACTGGGGAACGAGGACACTCCCGGGCCTAACTGGTGCTCAGCAGTTACTCCCTCCCCTCCCCGGCCTTGGCGGGCTCTACAGAGGAGAGGACTGTGGCACACTGTCCTTTCCAAACGCGTCCATGACACAACCCCCTCCCCTGCACGCTCCTGGAGGACCCGGCCACTCCTTCGTTGAGAGGTGAAGTCTGCATCCCTCCTCGTGGACCGAGACAGGCTCCAGACTAGACGCAGCGGCGTCAATGATGCTGGCTGACTTCTGAGCTCAGGTCTTCAAAATGCATGCGCTTCTGTCTTCCGGTCTTGGGACGCTCGGTCCTAGAGCCCAGGTGCCTCTCTGGGAAAGTCCAAATCAGCTTCCGCTCAGAGACCCCGAGAGCGGCTGTGTGTATAAGTAGTGGCTGCCCCTCCAACATCCAGCACCGACTGCCAGGGGTGTGAGTGAAGACGCTTCCGACACTTCCTGCCTCCTGCCATCTGGTACCCCCAGACTGCAGAGACAAGCCACTCCCTGTGCTCTGGGTTCCTGACCCACTGAATCTGTGATCCTAACC